TATATATATATATATATATATATATATATATATATATATATATATATATATATATATATATCCATCAGATGTTTTAAAGAATGTTGGGAATCTGTAACAATTAACATTGAGCTGGTTTGAAATAAGTCATCAGGGTGCTGTAAATCCTTGAAAATGATTTTAATCTTGTCTTTTTCAGTTTTGAAATGTCCTTACATTTTAGATATTGCTTAAATTATGACTTTTGGAAGTCGTCATTTATTCATTCATTTTTCTTTGGCTTAGTCTCAGAGGTCGCCGCAGTGGAATGAATTGCCAACTATTCCAGGATATGTTTTATGCATGCATCTATCTATCTATCTATCTATCTATCTATCTATCTATCTATCTATCTATCTATCTATCTATCTATCTATCTATCTATCTATCTATCTATCTATCTATCTATCTATCTGTATGTCTGTCTGTCTGTCTGTCTGTCTGTCTGTCTGTCTGTAAATATGTGCAATTATCATGACAGACTACCGACAGTGCTTTCACAATCTTTTTTGCAACGAATTCTCAAGAAGTAAGATGTAAGAGCTCTCTCTGCAATTAGTCAAATTCCCAGAATCCCAGAGACAAACAGGTCTGGACATGAACAATACTCGAAGACTGTCAACGCTGCTGACTTTACATCATGTTTAACACAATCAAGCAAATCCCTAAAGGCAGAGACACATCAGACGTCTCAATATATAAACTCAGATTATACAGCAGGTTCATAAAAAACAAAAACAAAGGCCAAGTTAATTTAATAACGTTTAAACATGTTGTTTATTTAATGTTTAATGAGAATAGGTTTAAGATTGCTGGATTAAACAAAAGATATTTGGAATAATATTAAGCATGCACAATAAATGTGAAAGTTAGCAAGTGTAAAACGATAACTTGAATTATTATTATTTAAAATGTATTATATAATGTTTATTATTTATTTTTATTAAACATTAACTCGCGTTAAGAGTAATGATTAATAAACTACATTTCACAGGCCTAAACACACATACAAAACCCCATTTGTTTTTGCTTCTGCAAACCACAAGAGGTCAGCAAATCGTTTAACTGTTTCTATCCAGCGTACACACTTGCATGCACTGCATCAATAACATAAACCAATAGTACTGCTCAAAGACTTGTTTACCCATCACCTGATTCAAGATCAAATCACTTTGATCTTAACATCATGCACCTATTAGCATTAAACCAAGAATAACTGATCTGATTCCAAATATACTAAAATCCTCTGAGAACTAAACTCTCTTGAGGCCCTTCATGTGACGTAGGAGCTTATAAATAGCTGTAATAGTCTATTTAAGGAGCTGATCTCTAAAACAAGACAACAGCTTCCCTTCAGCTCTAATGTTCCAGGCCCAGTCACATGTCTGTTTTCCAGTTAATTTCCCTCATGCCACCTCTGTTCCACTGGTCCACTGACCACTGACCCTTGACTGGCTGATCTTCAATGGGAGGCGGACCTTGACGTTAGGCGGGTATTGCAACGGTTGTCATGGAAACCTCCTCCAGACGATGCTGGGTGGATTAGACTGTTGAAGACAGGGAGGGAAGAATGGGGGAGGAGGCAGCGAGACACTAAGTTCAAGGTCATTGGCATAACACTATTATGTCCTCGACTTACATCACTGAGGACAAAAGAGACTTTTTTGATTGCTGGAAATTGCGCAAAGGGTCCCTTTCTTTTATCCTATCTGCTGATGTAAAAAAAGAAAGGGACCCCGTTAATGAAGTAATAGGACCTGAAGGATCACGTAAGCTATGAAGTTTATGTCCATGCCACAGTTCATTAAAAATAAAAGTTGTTTTTAGAATAATTAAGGTCTATTTTCAGGCTTAAAGACAAATTAAAAATCACATTTAAATGGAACACTGGTTAATTCAAATATGTTACCCATATTTGAATTATATATATATATATATATATATATATATATATATATATATATATATATATA